CGACTAGCCATGGCACAAATTGAAGCGTGGGAAATAGATATTCGGTTTCAGAAGCAAATGATTGCTCGAGCTGCATAAGGAGAAAAATAAAGATAATCAAGAAACTCAGCAATGAATCCATTTCAATTTCTATGGGAAAATTTGATACATATATTTGGTTTTATTTTAATATTTTTCCTATAGAAAGTTTTGAAACTCGCAAAAAAAAGCCCTTCTTGAGATGAGACCAAGAACTAGCAATGCACTAGGGTATCAAAAGTTATACCACCATCTTCATCTTTGGTTCGATAAGTCTAATAAAGCCAACAAAATCATCATCGTCATATATTTAGAGGTAGATAAGCCCGTATTTTCAATCGTGTACCTGACGCGCAAAGTCACTATTATAGCAATTATCGAGTGGCTTTGGATCCAAACCAGTAGTACGGAAACAAGATCTCCACTCCGTGTGCTTGTTCATCAAATGCAGATTCTCTATGCAGCGAATGAACTTGAAATGGTCCTTCTGCATCCACAAATTATTTAGATGCAATCAAAAGTTGCTTGAAAACTAAGCGTACTTATATAATTTCTCAACGAAATTTCATACTTGAACAAAACTACATAAACTTTTCCTAATATAAATATGCATTTTTGTTAAAAAAATTAAAACGACTAATACAAAATAGGTGAATCACTAAAAGAATCATGCTACATTACCTTATCAAGTTTTACAAATTTGGTCATCTAAAATACAAATGTTAAACATCTAGTAATTTTCTCATTATAACATATAACTAAAATCATCTGATCAGATTTTACCAACTACCATATTAATTTACAAATTAGGATACCAAAAACATTAAAATACACATGTCAAATATCTATTAATTTTCTCATAAACCAATCTGACAAATAAGATTAAACGTGTGAAACCTACCACATTAGGCCAAGCCCTTGTGGCGCAGGCTTCAACAACATCCAATAGACACTCATCGTCACCATGCTGCAACAAAGTCAACACACAAAAGAGTCAACAAGTCAACCCAACAAAAAAAAAAAAGGAGCAGATAAATTTCAATCTTATTACTCATAACAACATCAGAATCAGATCTTTACTAATTAAAGGATAATTAACAAAACCCACAATTTAATTTCACCCCCATTATCACTTCAAAATCACAATATTTCCCCATGGCAACAAAAATCCCAAAAAAAAAAAGGAAAGAAAAAATAACAGTAAAAAGCAATACCTGGCAAACCCAGGTGCCGTTGCCGAGGATCTGAGAGTTGCCCCAAGGAACAAACCTAAGATTGACAATGTTGATTAGATCTGTCTGAAACATCTTAACCAGATGGTTGACGATGAAGTCGGCACAGTAAGGGCACAGGGACTCATAGTACAGAGACACAGTTACTTTGTTAGACGAATCATATTCTCGCGAGATCTCATAGAAATCAGCTGGATTTGCAGAGGAAAGTGAAATTTGAGCTAGTGTTAAGGTTAGCAATACTGTAAAGGCACGAACGTGAGGAGCCATAGCTCTCTATGTAAGAAATACTTGATTAATAATTGTTTGGAGAAGAAAAATAAAAAAAATGAGAGATTTGCTATGAAAGTGATGAGTGTTATTTTATGGCAAAATTTATTATATTGGTCATTTTTTAGAAATGGTCCACTAATTTGGCAAACATCAAACTTGATATAATAAGTTGTAAAATTCATCATTTTTAGTCCATAAGCCTACGTGGCGTTTTATCGGGCGAATACGTGGACAAGTTTGATGTCTGCCACGTAGGCTTGTTATCCAGCTCGAGTAATTAATGGACCAAAAATGATGAATTTTACAACTTATTGTATCAAATTTGATGTCCGTCAAATTAGTGGACCATTTCTGAAAAATGACCAATGGACAAAAAATAAAATTTTACCGTTATTTTATGGTGTGGGAAATTGGGGAATGGCTGCTTCCTTCAAGCAAAGGATATCATTCATATGGCCGACTGCTTTTGGCTTTTTTGCTCTCTTTATTATCTTTTGCTTGTTTTGATTTTTATTAATTATGTGTGGTGTGTGGTGTGTGGTGTTGCCTTTTTCACGTTTTATTTTATCATGTATCCCACACATAATAAATTGGGGCCTTGTCCGTACTCACATCTCATCTCTAGTTTGAATTTTTTTAAATGGTTCGTGTGTACGTATTCGTGTTAGTTAAGAAAGCATATTAAGTCAACAATACCTTTTTCAATTTGCTTGTATTGTGTAAACTCTCATATAAATAAAAATAATAACATTTTATACTATTTAATATGTTGTTTTTTTACCCCCCCAAAAAAAAAAAAGTTTGACAAGTCGATTGTTCGATTGAATGATTAGACTGTCGAATTTGAGATGTTAGTTATATGATAAATAGAGTACACTTCTGATATAAATAGATGAACTCTAACTTTTTTTTTTTTTTTTTGGTGTAGGGACCTTCTGGTTTCTGGATCTACAGGGAAATTGATGCAGTCGAAAGCGTACGAAAGACACGAGAGTATAGAATACTCGATAATAATATAATTTTATTCAATCATTCACCAACTTCTTCATCATATGATTACATAATTTATAAGAATTCTTGTGACTTTTTGAATGTCCCCTAATAATGTTTCTAGTTTTTAGCTAATGTTGAATGTCTCTTTGATTTTGGTACTTTGAATACTACAAACTTCCATACTAACTTTAAAATCACTCCTATATATAATTCCCGAATGCGCTGAGCCTACGTGGCTGCTTCTGGTGCTTCGAAATCTTACATGGCGAAGAATCATGCTTCGTAATTAGGTTTGGACAAATAATATTGATATATTAATAATTAATAATCTAAGTCCGGACATTCCATAAATATTATTTAGCTAACTTAGGTATTTTAATATCAATTGTACTATTATAACCCTTTAATTCTTTGTAACCTTACATAGTGAAGCACTAAGTGACTAATATATCTCTAACTTTTGATTTGTGTCCTTCAATTAGCTATTGAATTATAAATGTATTTTTAAAGTTGATAACTTTTGTATTTCTTATCGGTTTTACATATATAATATATCAAATTAATCAGCCTTTGATGATCTTCGATTTGACATCCATATTGTATTTATCTTTATAATAATAAAAAATAATATTATTTATTAAAATTCATTAAAAAAATAAAATTACTTCTCAATTGATATATTTAAGTTTAATGTAGTTATATGTTGTAAGTTAAAAAATTTTTATAATATAACACATGTAAGTCGCACAAATAAAAAGTATCATACTAAATATATAATAATATCTGTATATTTTTTATAAAATGTATTTAAATTTTCAACTACTTTTTCTCATTAATTTTAGATTTTAAGAAAAAATTAACAAGCACCCCTGTAATACACGGGCGTTGTACTAGTAACATAATAATATGAAGAGTCACATAAGCATGCAACTCATGCACGACGTCTACGACGCTCGTATTTTTCCATAAACGCCAAAGCAAGCTCGTCTCCATCATCCTCCCCCGGTTGGGAAGGATTCGACCTCGAATCCGAAATAAGCTCGTCTCCTTCTGTGTTCTCACCCAAATATGGCACCAAATGTGCCGACACCAGATTAGTACCAAGGCAGGAATCTCCAATCGTTTTTCCCTATCGTGCACGAAGGTTGAATACCGCACAACCAGTTCAACACTCCCCTCCAAAACTGCCGAACAATTAGCCGCCCAGAATGAAACAACTAGTGCACCGACAAACACTATGACATAAACGTGTTCTGGGAAAACTTTGACCTCTCTATATTCATATAGTTCAATTAGCTTTTGCATGTCCACTACAAGGGCACCGATAGCAGCAAGGTCATAGAAGGCCTTGCCTGGGGAATCCAATCCAGAGGCACCCATTTGGTTAGTGTGTTCAAAAAATTTCATATCTTGAAATTGCAAGAGGATGGTATCCTCTGGTCCAAAGTTCACCACGTCAAATTCTCCAATCCTATGAACGAAAGGTATCTTCTCCATGGCCCCGCAAAGATGTTTCTCTATCAGTGGAGGCTCTTCATCAAAGATCGGCGTTCCATCGTAGAAATCACCCTCGTCGGGGTCGAAATCCTGGGATTCCTCATCAAAGACCGGC